CTTTCCCTTCATGCCTGTAAGGGAAGGAGTACAATCAGAAGTGAAAAGCAGTGAGGCAGCTGGCGTTTCTCAAGCAACCCATTCTTTATTGCTTGACTCTAATACAGCAAGCTGAGTTCCTGAGTCAGGATGGTTAAGTCATACCTAAGGAAGTCCATGTCAGGTCCAGGCACCTGTGTCCCTTTGGGGTCCATGCTGTCTCTGTTTGTTCTACAGTCCAAGATGTATCCCCTTTTCCAAGCTAGTTTCCAACATTGAGCTCCTTTCTCCTGTGCCAGCCCTGGAAGGAAACCCTCAGTCATTCTAGCTCTCAGTAAGTGGCTTGGGGGCTTTTCTTTTATAGGTCAACTGGTCTCACTCAATTCATGATAGCCCATTCTCAATAAGCCCTAGGCACTAGACAGCCCCAGAACTTTGAAGTCTTAGTCTCGGTAGTCTGTGTGAGTTAGGCCCCTGAGACCCAGGCACATGAATGAATTTTGGCAATTAATTTAAATCTAACAAGAATGACCCAGAGTTTCAAAAAACTCATTCTATTACAGCCAATCAGTCCACAAAACCTCAGAAAAGAGAAAACCAAGACAGAGAAAATACATGGATGGATGGAAGGTTGGTATCCAGAAGGTAAAGAGGGAAGCCATTGTGACTAATTATTATTTGATACAATACTGTAATACTACTACTAATACTAATAAATAATAATAGAAAGCAATACTGGAATGGTAGCAATAATAGAACTTTGTCATCTTCTCCTCTCCTCCTTTTTCTTGAATTATTGTCCTTAGGGAGTCTCTCTGTGATCAATTCATCATTGAGTCTTTGGGCAGTTGTTAGATGCAAATACTCTGTATGTCACACAGACTCAATATAAACTAATTCCAGAGGATAAAATAAAAGTAATTTTTCACTCCTGGTATCTACTGTTTGATGCAGAATAGGTCCCTGGATCTCTCATTTCTTTCAAAATGTTCTATCTGTCTGTATATCTGCATATCTGTATTTTCCTCTAGCACTGGCCTCTAAATTACTAGGTAGCCATGAGAAATATCCGAATTATTGCAAAAATATTTTTAAAAATCAGTGGTCTGTGTTGAATTCTAGTTTTATACAAGAGGACCATAGACACCTACATCAAAAATCAGACCTGGGGGAACATTTGCCCCAGGATCCTGTCTGCAATGGTGTTAGGTGCAAGCTTCTGTGTAAAGGGAAGTGCAAAAATCCTTAACGAAGAAAACTGCAGAATGCCCTGTTCATATGTTAGGTTTCTTTGCTGATTTACATTATGGACGAGATTTTTAAAAGAAGATTAGATAGACAGACAGGCAGACAAACAATCACAAAAAAGGCAAAAAGGGTTTTTTGTGTAAAACAATGATATGATTCTTCGTTGCTTAGGGTACGGATGATGCCAGCCTGAGAAGCAACGATAGCTGTATGGTAGAATTTGTCCTGTTGTGTTTCTCCCTGC